TAGGACACCAAGCATCCCTTCCATTCATGGAAAGGATTAGAGGACAAAGGGGGTGGGGGCAAGAGGGAAGGAAAAATTATGACTACCTTGTGACCTCATGTGTTTGGGTTTTGTCAGACACACATAGGCTCTGTGGTTAAAGCAGAGGTGGTAGGTTGAGAGGGTAAAGCTGTCCCACCACCACCAGGAAATCAAGATCAAGATCCCTCTAGACACTGGACGTTGGCATGGATTAACTCAGAGGAGTCGGGCTCACTAGAGGCAGGAATTGGAAATACGTCAGGGGAGAGAGAAGCCAGGAGCTAGAGCACCGGGTGCACTTGGTGCTAGAATGCCTGGGTGGCTGTTTTCTCCCTTCCTCCAGCCAGAGCACATTGTCCTTCAAGCCTCACTTGCTGACCGCCTGGGAGTAAGTCTGTCTTCTCCCAATTTTATAGCCCCACAGTCCAGGCTGGGGGGTGTGCAGGTGCAACGACAAGGACCACGACAGGGCTGGTGCTCCACCCGGTCCTGTTCCCTACCTGCCTTCAGAGAAATCCACCTGGGCATCCCTCCCACCCTCTCCCACAGGCCAGGCAGTCCTGGGGCGGCTGACCCCTCACAGGTTCACTGCATTCCAGGAGCTTTTATAAACACGCAGCCAGGGTGTGGCGAGTTGACTTCTCGTTCCTCTCACCGGCCCGCCTCTAGCCCTGACTGAAAGAAGAAAAGAGTTTCTGTTGGCCCTGAGCGCGAGGACAAGGTGCGTGGCAGGTTGGACTGGACAGGTTAGCCATCTGTCCTCCTCCCAAAGCAACAGACTAGAACATGCTGGGACTCCCAGACACCAGCTGTGCAGTTAGATGACCAGCGCAGATTTACTTTTGGGAGCAACCAGGAACAATCCCCCAGGATAAGACATTGTGCAGAGCCATGCTAGGGGTGGGGAGGAAGGGCCAGCAGAGGGAGAGACGTTTACCACCCTGCCACTGTCAACCACTTCTGCCCACAGGTCCTCAGTACACCCCCAACTGCAAGGGAACTAACTCAAAAACCACCTGGGGGGGGCGGGACCTGGGGGGCTCAGTCAGTTCAGCTGACTCTTGGTTTCAGCTCAGGTCATGATCTCAGAGACGTGAGACCAAGCCCTGCATCAGGCTCTGCGCTCAGTGCGGGTCTGCTTGTCGCTCTCCCACTGCTCCTCTCCCTCCTCAAAAAAACCCCCCCAAAACCCCACACCTCTGGGTGCTCTGCATGGGCTAATGGGCTGTCCCAAGGGAGGAGCATAAAGTGGCTAGTAATGGTTGCTTGTCTTTCTCCTTTGCCTCGGACTCTGGGGTGTGGTGACAAACGTCCACACACATGACTCATTCACTGGAGCGCTTGTCAACAGCCTTCTGGCTTCTCCAGGTCCAGCTGCCTCAGACTCTTGCCCACTTGGCTGACCAAGGAGACTACTTTCCAGGTGTCAGCTCTGGGAGTAAGGGGCTCCTGCTTCAGGGGTCAGCGAGCCAGGGGAACAAGTCCCCAACATCAGGCTCTCTTTCCATTGCCCCAGTGGGTGTGGCAATACGGAAGTTAAAACTATGGCCACACTGAGGGGACCTGGGGGGCTCAGTTGGTTAAGCGTCCAACTCTTGGTTTCTGCTCAGGTCATGATCTCATGGACTGTGGGGTCGAGCCCTGTGTTGGGCTCCACGCTCAGCAGGGAGTCTGCTGGAGATTCTCTCCTCCTGCCCTTCCCCTCATGCGCATGCACAGTCTCCTCTCTCCTTCTCTCAAATCTAAAAACACAAAAAACAAAAAACAACTACAGCCACACTGGACAGGATGGTCTCAAGAAGCCAATGGCTAACACTTCCCCCTTACCCCCTATTACTTTAACAAAACTTGCATCATAGATAACATAAAGATATTATCTTTCTAATTGGCAGAGAAGGCCCTTGAAGCTTACAACTACAGTCCTACAGACTGTAGAGAGAGAACGTGGACCCCTTACCTTCCCCTTTCTCCACTAAGCCTTCTGCTGTGCCTCTCCCATTCAGAATGGCTTCTGGTCTCCTAGCTTCTTTCTTAGACTCTGATTCAGTGCTTCTTTTATTCCCCTGTAAGCATCTCAAAGGCAGGAGACATGGTCCTCACCATTTCCGACTCTCCTGTGCCTTGCAAACAGAACGCCGGTCGGGTTAAGTGGGAGAGGCAGAGATGACTCTGAAGCCTTTTAGCACCACCCGATATAACCATCTTTTGAAAATCTAGGTTCATTTTTTTCTGATTATAAAAGAAATATGTGTTCCTCATCGGCGCAAGCTGTACTTCACCTTTCCAGAATCAGTTTCACGACATACAAGAGGACAGCAGAAGCTCTGAGCGTTTATTCCTCCTTGAATTGTCCCATTGGAAACCACCCCTCAGGGACTTGTTCTCCTTCTGGCCTCTTCCATATAAGCCATGAGCCTCCCCCTTCTCAACCGCCGGGACCCCTGGGCACAGACCCAGAGGCGGAGCTGGCCAAGAAGTGGTGTGAGCGGCCCCAGCACCCCTTTCTTCTCTTCCCTTTTGACCCCACAGCGCATGGCATGAGGCTGACGGGTATGTTGACTTTTGACCCAAAGGAATTATAATATAGGCCTGGAAGCCTCAAGGCAAGCCCAGTGTTTGACATTTCACCAATTCCAAGGCTGGGGTGGGGTGGGGGTGGGCATGGCCAGAATAAGACTCCTTACCAAGGTGTCCCTCTAGGAGGCGACCCAGGTTCAAACCGGGTTCTATCCTTAAGTACCCTCTTCTTACCTGCCCTTATGGTCCCTCTGACGAATCTCTGCCTGACTTCGGGAAATGCTACCCCTTACCTAGCCTAGGATGCATAACACTTTTCCTAAGTCTAAGCCCTTTTCCTAAGTCTAATCATTCACCCTGAAGTAACATTTCCCATTGCCGTCCCAACCACTGGCACTCCAAGTTTGGGGAACACCTTCAGCCAGGAAAGTCAGTGACACTAAGGGCTTATAGAGCACTTTGGGAACAAATTACAAAACAGCACATTCTGTGGCCCCATTGGGTCCCCCGATTCAAGGTTCCATCAAAACCCATTAGACTAAAATGTATATATACATGTCCTCAAAACAGACACTCCTGAGCTATGGTAGCACCTAAACCCATAATGAGAAAGAAAATATTGTCAATAATCATTCATAATTTTTAATAAACAGAGGTATTGAAATCTAATATATACAGGAAGTAGAAGAAAATGTGAAGAAGGTGAAAAAGGAAAGTGTCCTATAAACATTATCTGCAGAAAAGTGCATAGAAAGTGCTTAGAAGTGTTCGGCATGGTGAGTCCTCACAACCCATATCAAGAAATAGAGCAGTATTGGCACGTGCAGAAACCATGCCTTCATCCCTCTCGGTCACTGCCTTCTTTCCATAGGGTAGCAACCACCATCCCAGCTCTGTCTCCTAGATTAGTCTTGCTATTTTTGAACATTATATAAATGAATCATACACTGGGTATTTATTTGGGGTCGGGCTCCTTTCACTCATTATTATGAGAGTCACTGGTGGTGTTCATGTAGCAGTAATGTGTTCATCTTTATTGTTTTATAGTCATCTATCACAATTTATTTTTCATTCTACAGTTGATAGACATTTAGGTTGTTTCTAGTTTGGGGCTTGTAGTGGGTTGAATGATGCCCCCCCACCCCACAAATATATGTACATCCTAATCCCTGGAACCTGTGAATGCTACTTGTTTAGAAATCGAGTTTCTGCAGGGGCGCTTGGGTGGCTCAGTCATTAAGCATCTGCCTTCGGCTCAGGTCATGATCCCAGGGTCCTGGGATCCAGCCCCGCATCGGGCTCCCTGCTCGGCGAGAAGCCTGCTTCTCCCTCTCCCACTCCCCCTGCTTGTGTTCCCTCCCTCTCTATCAAATAAATAAATAAAATCTTAAAAAAAAAGAAAGAATAAATTGCTATACATTCTCGTATGTCTTTTTGTACATATACATATCCATAAACATACGCACACACCTAAGAATGGAATTACTGAATCGGCTTGGGTATATGTTTAGTGCTAAGAGATATTGTTGAATAATTTTTCAAAGCAGTTATACCAATTTATACTCCCACCAGGGATGTTTGAGAAATCCAGTTTCTCCACATTTTTGTCAACCTTGGCATTGTCAATCTTTTGTATTTTGCCCTTCTGGTAGATGTGCAGCAGTTTTAATTTGTATTTCCATGATAACTAATGAGGTTGGGCACTTGTTTATTAGCCATTTGGATATGGTCTTTTGTGATGTGCTATCCGGGTCTTTTGCCCATTTTTCTTTTCAGTTATCTGTGTTCTTACTGATTTGTGATATTTATATATTTGTATTATATATAATACATAATTTCAAGAATTCTATTATGTATGTATAATATATGTATATATATTAAATACCTTGGTCCAAAAATGCATTGCAAATATCTTCTCCCACTCTGTGGCTTGCCTTTTCACTCTCCGTGGTGTTCCTGGGTGAAAAGTACTAAATTTTAATGAAATTTGAGTTACTTGTCTTTTCTTTTATGATTGGTGCTTTTGTGTCCTCCCATCGGAGCAGGGAGCCCGATGTGGGGCTCGATCCCAGGACCCTGGGATTATGACCTGAGCCGAAGGCAGATGCTTAACCGACTGAGACACCCAGGTGCTCCATGTTTAAAGAAACCTTTGTTGCCCCAAAGTCATGAATATATTCTCCTTTATAATCTTCTAGAAGCTTTATTGCTTTACCTTTCACATTTAGGTTAGCAATCCATCTGGAATTAATTTGTATGAATTGTTGGGGCTTGTGTTCCCTCTCTCGATGTCTCTCTCTCTGTCGAATAAATAAATAAAATCTTAAAAAAAATTTGTATGAATTGTTAAAAGATAATTTTTTATTTATTTTTTAAAAGATTTTATTTATTTATTCGACAGAGAGAGAGATCACAAGTAGGCAGAGCGGCAGAAAAGATAATTTTTTAAAAGATAAAATCATGACTCTCGTACAGATATAAAAACTCACCCATTAAAAATTTATTTAACTTATTAAGAAGAAAAACTGGCAAGGTGTTTCGGCCTGTTCAAAAGTGGGTCCAAAGAACAGACACATTTATAGATCAGGAATATTGAAATGAATATGCAAATTGAGGCAAAATAAGTTTTTCCACGGGGGCGGGGGGATGGTGTCCCTCCACCAGACAGAATTTATTTTCATGAATTTTGCTTTGCTATCAGCTATCTACAATTTACAGAGTTGTAAAAGAGTTGCCATAAAATCACAATCAGATAACCCAGAGGCTATGCTACAAAAATGCAGTTTTCCATGGAAGCATAAATTTTTCCAACCATATAGTATCAGACAGGAATCAAGATTCTTTTGGTTTTTCACAACATATCCCATAGACCCAGCACCATTTATTGAAAAACCTAGCTTCCCCCAACCAGCTCTTCACTGTCAGGGTTATGTGTGGATTTGTTTCTGACCTCTATTCTAGTCCATTGGTCTACTGGTCTGTTCTTGAGCCAATGCCACACTGTCTTACTATTATAGCTTTCTCATACTTCTCAATATCTACTAATGTAAAGCCTACAGCTTTCTCCTTCATCCCTCTAAATTTCTTGGCTATTCTTGGCCCTTTGTGTTTTCATATTCATTTTAGAATCAACTTGTTCATTTCTTTTTTTTTTTTAAAGATTTTATTTATTTGAGAGAGAGAAAGCACAAGCGGGGGGAGGGGCAGAGGGAGAGGGAGAAACAGACTCCCTGCGGAGCAGGGAGCCTGATGTGGGGCTCAATCCCAGGACCCTGGGATCATGACCTGAGCCGAAGTCACATGCTTAACCGACTAAGCCACCCAGGCGCCCTCAACTTGTTCATTTCTAAAACACAACAAGACAAAACAACAAAAACTTGCTCAAATTTTAATTGAGATTGGATTGGATTTATAGATCAACTTGGGGGAAATTTCCCATCTTTACAATATTGAATCTTTCAAACAATGAGCAAGATAGATTCTTTTTAAATTTAATTTCTCTCAACATTTGTAGTTTTCTACATTGGGCTTGTACATCTTTTGTTAGATTTATTCCTAGGCATTTGATGTTTTTGATTCTATTGTAAACAGTATCACTTTACATTTTCTTTTTTTTTTTAAGATTTTATTTATTTGTCAGAGAGAGAGCACAAGCAGGGGGAGTGGCAGGCAGAGAGAGAAGCAGGCTCCCTGCTGAGCAAGGAGCCCGATTCAGGGCTGATCCCAGGACACTGGGATCATGACCTGAGCCAAAGGCAGACGCTTAACCGACTGAGCCACCCAGGTGTCCCTACATTTTCATTTTTAATAGCCATTCATAATTTGTAAAACCTCTCTGATCCTGGGGTGCCTGGCTGGCTCAGCTGGAAGATTGTGCGACTCTTCATCCCAGGGTTGTAATTTCAAGCCCCATGTTGGGTGTAGAGATTACTTAAAAATAAAATCCATGTTCGGTCCTTCTCCTTCATTTTCTCTCTTCTTCTCTGATATATACACCAGCCAGTGAGGTCTCTGAGGCCTACCAGGGAAAAGAGAGCTCCCTTGAGAATGCAAAGAGATCACCCTTTGAATATGGACTCTATTAAACTCTTAACCTAAAACCTTCATTCACTTCAGTTTCCTTTTTTTTAATACCAAGCCTTCCTTTATTTATTTATGTATTTACTTGAGATACCATTCACATAACCTAAAATTCACTATTTTATTTATTATTTTTTAAAGATTTTATTTATTCATTTGAGAGAGAGAGAGCACAGCAGGGGGAGAGAAGAAAGGGGGAGGGGGAAGCAGAGTCCCTGCTGAGCTGGGAGCCCGATGTGGGGCTCCATCCCAGGACCCCGAGATCATGACCTGAGCTGAAGACAGTCGCTCAACCATCTGAGCCACCCAGGCACCCCAAAATTCACCATTTTAAAGTGTGCAGTGCAGTGTTTTTTAGGATCATCACTATGTTGTGCAACCATCACCACCATTTAGGTCCAGAACATTTCCATCACCCAAGAAAGAAACCCCATGCCTCTGAGCAATCAGTCCCAGTTCCTCCTCCCGAGCCCCTGGAGACCACTAATCTGCTTTCTGTCTCTATGGATTTGCCTTTTCTGGACATTTCATATAATATGTCCTTTTGTGTCTGGCTTCCTTCACTTAGCCTCAGGTTTTCGAGGTTCGTCCAAGTCGTAGCATGTGTCAGGACTTGATTTGTTTTTATGGCATTGGCTCTGTGTTCACATGGGAAAGGAGTGAGGATTGGTTCATAGGAAATCCAGAAAGCAAAGACAAGTAGAAAAACATAAAAACAAAAAAATTTATATTCTATCTTGGAAAACTAGCAACAGAAAAACAGCATGTTTTTCTTTTTCTTTTTTTTTTCACAAAAGTTTTTAGTTTCTTTTTTTTTAAGTTTTTTTTTTAAGATTTTATTTATTTATTTGAGAGAGACAGAATGAGTGGGGGGAGGTGGAGAAGGAGAAGCAGACTCCCTGCTGAGCAAGGAGCCTGACATGGGGCTCGATCCCAGGACCCTGGCTGGGGTCATGACCTGAGCCGATGACGGATGCCTAACCAACTGAGCCACCCAGGTGCCCCAAAAAACCCAACATGTTATTCTATGCACACTTGTCTTTACACGCAGTTGCGATTATACTGTATACACACTTTTGTATCCTATTTTTCCCACGTTTTCTCATTTTATTGGAAAATTTCATATACTAAATTTCCAACGGTTAATTTCATCATGCGAATGTACACTAGTTTTTTAATGATGTCCTTATTATTAAACATGATGCTATAAATAATACTTTCATGAAAATCTTTGTGCATAAAACAATGCCCATACTTAGATTTATTTCCTTAACACATTTCCTGATGATATATTCTGGGAAATAGGTCAAAAGCTGCAAACATTTTTAATATTCGTTATTCATAATGACAAATATCACCCCTCCCAGCAATGTATTGGGAAAGTGATTTCCCCCATCCTTCTCCAATACTGAGTATTTACACTTTTTATTTCTGTTAATTTGATAGATTAAAACAGTGATTTTTGCATTTATGCAATTGTGAAATGTGTAATTTGCATTTCTTACATTTCTGGCAAGGCTGAGTATTTTTTCATGTGTCAATCATTATATTTTACATGTAAAGTGTCTGTTCCTATCCTTTGCCCAATTTCTTCACTGGGTCTTAGCACTTGTTTACTAATTTATAAACATCCTTATGTAATACAGACATTGACCTTTTGTACAGTTTCTGATCATCTATTTTTCCTCCATTTTGTTGTTTACCTTTTAACTTGGTCATTAATTTTTCATTTTTATGTGGTCATTTTCTTTTGGGGGGGTGGGAATAATGTTTTCCATTGCCCTTAAGCTGAGAATGTCTTCCTCCCTGTGGATATGAGATAAATATTCACTTATGTTTTCATATAGCCTTTTTGGGCTTGAATTTTTGCCATTTAGCATGTTAATCTTTCTGGAACTTATATTGGTACATGACACATGGTTTAAAGATAAATTTTACTTTTTCCCACGAATTGCTAATTAAATATTAAAAGATAATTTGTTGGGCGCCTGGGTGGCTCAGTCGTTAAGCGTCTGCCTTCGGCTCAGGTCGTGATCCCAGAGTCCTGGGATCAAGGCCCGCATCGGGCTCCCTGCTCCATGGGAAGCCTGCTTCTCCCTCTCCCACTCCCCCTGCTTGTGTTCCTTCTCTCGCTGTCTCTCTCTCTGTCATATAAATAAATAAAATCTTTAAAAAAAAAAAAAGATAATTTGTTGAATAAACTGACCCTTCCCTAATTGGATTTATAATCTTTCCTTATCATGTAATAAGTACCTATATTTACAGGGTCTGTTTGAAACACCTAGTCTGCCTGAGTGATTCTAACCATCTTAATATGTAAAATTCCATCAACTTACCCATTTCGGGAACTTTCAAGAAAAGAGAAGATATATATTGGAGAAGACAACCTGGATAAGCCTTTCTTTGCTTAACTTTATTGAATCTTGATATCACAGGCAAAGGCAATATCTTCTAAAGGTCGATAACCTGTCTCCAGGCTAAACTACACTTAAACCATCCCCTAAGGCATTAATTAACTAAGGAGGACCTCGCTGAGATGATAGCATCCTGGGAGATTTTTATCAAATATTGTAATCTTCGGAGGATTTATATCTAATAGAAAAAAAAGAATACCAGGTAAATATATTCGATGGTACCTTCCAAAAACACATGAAGAGAGAAATGATGACTTATGTTTTAATGGTCCTTGACTAGGTCCTTGACTTCATATGGGAAGACAGACTAAAACGTCTTACAAGTTGTGAAGTTTCATGCAGAAAATAATTATACAAACAAATATAAAAAACCATGACAGGGGCGCCTGGGTGGCTCAGTTGGTTAAGCGACTGCCTTCGGCTCAGGTCATGATCCTGGAGTCCCGGGATCGAGTCCCGCATCGGGCTCCCTGCTCGGCAGGGAGTCTGCTTCTCCCTCTGACCCTCCTCCCTCTCATGCTCTCTGTCTCTCATTCTCTCTGTCTCAAATAAATAAATAAAATCTTAAAAAAAAAAAAACCACGACAAGTGCTACGGAGCTATCTCTTTCCAGTATTTTTCAAGTTATTTTGACTATGACTTTTCTGTCAAATACATTTGACATCAGGACCTACAGGAACTAGTACTCTAAGCTCTGAAAGTGACATCAGGAGGATGAGTAGAAATTAAGTGGGTGAAGAGGAGAAGAATGGTCCCAGCAGAGAAAGCAATATGTGCAAAGGCCCGGTGGCAGGACAGAGCAAGTGATCACAGGCATTGTAAAAAAGCCTATCTGGCTGGAATCTAAAGACCCAAGGTGATCATGATATGAGACGAGGCTGCAAGAGTCATAGGATACAGACCATGTATGACCTCAGAGGCCACGGCAAGAGCACTTGTCTCAGAATCAGATTTGTTTTGAAAAGATCACTGGCCACCGTGGAAGATATATAGAAATAGGGCTAAGCATGGATGAAGGGAGACTAGTCAGGAGGCTATTGCAGTCATGCCAGTGAGCGGTTATGGCGGCCGGACTGAACGGTAATGATGGAGATGGAGGAAAATGACAGGCGGGGATACTCACCACTATACTAACGAGGAAGGAGCTGAGATGGAGGAAAATGAATGCAATCCAGAGATTGCAGACAGTCATTCCACAGGACATAATCAGCACCCTCTCTGTGCCATGCACTGTTCTAGGTCGTGAAGACACAGCAGAAAACAAGAGAGTCCGGGTCCCTGCCCTTAGGGAGATTTCTGGCTTGCATAACTCTGCGGACAATGATGCCACTGACTGAGATAGGGAATCCTGAAAGAAAGATCAGGGGCTCTTTTGGACACGTTGAGCTTTGGGTACTTTTGAGACACCCCAAGAGGATGGCAAACAGACTGTTGGAAATACGAGTCTGGAGCTCAGAGAAGTCTGGCCTGGAAATATAAGTGTTTTTTCTTCATCGGACCTAGAACCCAACCAAGAGATAAGAGACACACCATGAAGTATCTTTGTGCGCATAAAGCCGAGCAGAAGCTGTACAAGAATTCATCTCAAACGACACCATCCTTGCTGGATACTTACAATACACTGAAAAATCACATTATGTGAATGGGCAGCTGCTACGTATCCATACGTGTGTATACATGCCTGTGACACAGGCGTACACACATAATTTGCTTGTACTTACTGGTAAGTTTCCCTGTTGTTACTATTTTTTTCGCATATAGTGATCCTAAACTCCTTACTAAATTGTGACAGTGATGATCAAAGTCAGCTTTATATTAGAAATTATTTAAGCCTATGTCTACCCATCATGAACTTCTAGAGGGCAGGGCCTTGCCTAAATTTCATCGTTTGCCCTAGAGTTCTGCATTCAATGGATAAAATTAAAATTTTTTTCTCCCTCAGACTCATTCATTCCAATTATTGGGGGTCCAGATTTGCATCTGTGCATATCTTAAGACACTCATCACAAACAGCTAAAATTGTGCACACAACACAAATAATCATTCCTCCGTTATTTTAATTCCTAATTCTGTTACCTTACATGTTTGTGTGTGTGTGTGTGTGTGTGTTTGCTTCTATATATATCTACTTCTGTAAAGAAAGTCCCAGTCACGATTATACTTCTATTCAGATGTGCAAGAGGCCAAGCTGGGTAGCGCAGTGAGAAAAAGAATGGTCTGGGTATCAATAGGCATAAATCTTAGTTTATGTTCTTCAGCTCTGGGACCGTCAGCAAGTCATTTAATCACTTCCAGCTGAATACTCTGCGCGAATGGCAATAAATGGTCTCTACGGTCTCTTACATCTCCAAGATCCTTTGAAATCCAATTTGATGGTAAAAAATGGCTTTTCAACACTTAGATGCCTCCGACCACAAACCTTTGAAATACCTCAGAGAAAGCAGGAAATACTTCTAAGTATTGGGGATGGCTACATTCATCTTCTAAGATTGCAGGGGGGCCGGGGGGGGGGGAAATGTGTGAC